TCAATGGGTTTTTCTTCACTAATTTATGACCCAATGTGCTGGTGTGGGGGGCATATGTACACTATTACTGGGTACGTACGTCATATCGACCTGGTCCTTTTTCCTTTTCCTATTATTTCTGTGAATTCAAGGAACGACGCCTGATGGGATGGATCCCAAAATGTTTTTTTTTTCACACTATGTTCACAATATAATCTAATGCCAGGCGATGTCGGAGATTGCTCGTGAATCAACTCTGAACAGGAAAAGAAAGAGAAGAAACTCTGCTTTCCCCAATTTCTTCTCCATGAACCATGAGAGCAAGGCTATGTGAGAATACGTATATGTTGGCCATGTGAAGAATAATAGGAGGAGGGTGCGCTGAGACAATGCTCCATGAATATGTGAAAAAGAACCATTCCTGCATTCTCACTATCTTTTGGAACAGTGTCCCTTCATCGCAGGAATCCGGATCATTCATCAATACCTGTTAATAAGCTTTGTGGCCGGACGGAAATTAAAAATAACTTACTTTCAACGGATTTCGATTTCATTGCATAATGACATTTTTTTTGCTCCAAGAAATGAATATTTCCAACTACAGCAGTATTCTGTGGTTATTCCTGCTTAACATGCTTGACATGCGCACGATCCTTCATTGAGTGGAATTGGACCGGGAGTTCAATCAGCATTAAATGCATAACCGGGAGAATATAGAATATTCAATGAATAGATACAAAGTATGCGAATGATGCATAATTTGTATCCGGTATGGAATCACTTAGCGAATAATGAAACTTGTTTGGTATGCGTCGTTGAGAGTTGAGGAGATATGGGAAATGCGACTGACTTGGTGAAATCGAAAATATTCATCGGATGATCATTGCTACACCGCAGGACAATTTACGCACTGAATGGTCCACCTCGAACATGATCGAGAGTAAAATGGAAAACAGTCGCGAGGAAATGATACAATGGGATTTTCTTGAACATACATGCAATAAAGGCAGTGGCACAAACGGAAATATGTAATTCAGGGTTCCAAATCGCCACAAAAATCGCCCGCCTCTTCAACTCATGATACACATTGCGCAGTGCAGAAAATAAAAAGGCACTCAATTCAGTCAATAAGAAATTGCATGTTCAGGATTAATTGTATTTGCTGACATTCCCAATGAAATTGCTTCCATCTAAGAACAAAGAGTTAATGAAATCAAAGGAAACTAGCGGCCCGCGGTCGCTAAGCTGGCCGTCTAATTGGCGGAAATTTGAAAATGTTCACATAAATAATAAAGCAGTTCGGTTCAAACCCAACATTAAACATTTGCAAACAAATCTCGAGATGTTCAAAAGCGTTGCCGCCCAGGTAATTTTATTATAACCCAGAGGATACCTCACAAACAAAAATAAGAAAGTTTTCCCCTCCTACGTAAGTTACGAATTGAACACACCACTATCCACACATCACAGGTATATCCCAACGATATCCCAGAGATATTCCCTTGGGACAAGTGCAATGTCCCAGAGACAAGGAGTAGGGATATCTTAGGGATATCAAAATGTCTGGGCCCAATGTCATCCCAAGGATGTCCCTTTCCTGAAGAACCACACATTTCAGAGATGTCCCAGGGATATCCTAGGGACAAGTCCCGGAAATTACTTATGGGGACATCTCAGGGATATGAAAATGTCTGGGTGTAATGACATCTCAAGGATGTCTCTTTCTTGCTGCACAAGTATATCCGAAGGATGTCCCAGAAATATACCCTTGGGACGAGTGAGAAGTCCCAGGTAGTACTTGCAGGTGCCTTCCTATCAACAATGGATTCCTTTCTTACCGCACAGAGAACAGAGAACCCATTACTTTCAGAGTTGCCTCTATTTGATCTAGGAACACCTAATCTTACGTTCTTGATCGATTGAAGAGAGGAAAATCCGCATTTAAAGGGCCTCATCATAGGAGACACATTTCCAAGGGATGAAATTAACCACTTTCATGCCAGAGGTCATGGACGAGATGATTCAGCCTGTCGCCTTTTGAAAAGTATGGGCTCAGGCTTCCTACCAAGATAGTTGTATCCAGACATGCCGAACACTCATCATTAAATATAATATAGCAGAATAAATTAAAATACGGACTACAGTTTTTTCACTTTCCCTGGTGGCAGCTTTCCTGTATGGTACAGTACAAAAATCATTACTTATCCTCTGGACAAATCAAGTTGTTGAAATTGATAGTAAAGATTTGACGTTGCAGATCAGGGCTCACGGGAGACATCTACCGTCGAAGCTATGCATCTGACTGAAGGCGATAGAGAGCGCTGAATTTCCTGAAAGACATCCCTGAGATGCCTCCTCAAGATATCGAAAAGCGCTCGACTGAAGATATGAAGATATCCTCTCCAGGATATCCAGAAGTATTCGACTAAGGATATCTTGAAGATGTCCCGAATGGGATATCTCTAAGATATCGACTGAAGATGTCTAAAAGACGTCACTTAGATATCCCGAAGACATCCCACCGGGATGTCCGAAAGGAGATGTCTTTAGGATATCCTATGAGGACCAGGGGACAATTCGTCCTGTTAGCGACATCCCTGGGATATCTCTGTGCTGTGTGGGTACGCACGGATATTCCATCCGCGTAAAACTGCAGCACAGTGACTTTGTTATCGCGCGCCGTAGCGTTTTGGTAATGCGGAATATCAATGGTCCAAAAAGGATCGCAGTTAGGAAACAGTAGCACGAACATTATAGGGTGAATGTGACGCTTATTTTTGTCGATGCGCACGACAATCCGATGGTGCTTCGGATGCACAGTGATATCAACATAAATGTTCTGTCTTCACCGACGAAGACAAATGCACACTACTATGGGCCAGTAGAGTGCCTGTGCGCTGCTTCCTTGCCTTGAGTTGCTCAGCAGGCTGCGCGGCTCTCCTATTCCTGCTCACAGCAATTGCTCCCTCCCGCTGTTCCGCGGTTTACGCGGCCCTTCCGCTCCCAACTTGCAGGGTCCACTGCTGCGTGCTGTTCGTCACTCATTCGAACTCAACGACTCCAACGTCAAGCATTTCTCACCGTTTTCCGCAGTTCGTACCGCAACTGCGGTGGCAAATGCGTTTTCCGCGCCTGCGCCAAACTGTTCACCTTCAGCGACTGCTTCATCGCCATCCTGTGCAACATCTACCAACATTTCTTCTTCCCGTTCAACCATACCATCGCGAAGGTCGTCACCGGCAATGTTGACGGGACGAGCGCGACGTAGGAGACAAAGAGTTTAAGTTACCATTATTTATTTCGTCGATCCTGAAAATTAAGAAACGTCGGCCATGATATGAAGCGCAAACAGAAAAGCATTGCATGGTTCCGACGGCGCGAACCGCCACTCCTGACCTAAAACATCACAGGGAAAGAATGCATCAACAAAGAAAAGAATTCATTGAAGTGGAGAACCTACACTTGGTTGGTGAAAGCGCAATACGCATTCACAATAAACTGTTTCAATCAACAATCGAGTGCCACTAAGTACGATGCCCATGCAAATAAAATGACATAGCGCATGGCCTAGAAAGGCAGAGGCTTGCAGCCCACATGCTTGATGCCGTGGATGGCCTTGCCTCTGGCTTAGAATCGTCTGGGATCGTCGATAACCGACGTCCAAACTGGAGAAAGTCTGCTATTTATTCCTGAATGCGTCGAATTTCTAGCTGATGCGGACGATCGACTTGCGGCTGACGGTTTCTCGGTTCGATTTCTCATTCAATTCTCGAGTGGTTTCCGTTGCCTTCTGGGCGAATTCGGAGTGACGCCGAACAATTGCTATACCATCATAGATTGTCAAAGGTTCCTCAGGTTCCTCAGCCATTTTCTTCTAATGCCTTTCAATTGGAATCGATCACGTCAGAGACCCAACCCATGAGACGCAGGACAGACAACGTGACTCAGCGCCGCAGACGTCTTTTAAAATGTGAACGCCTTTAATTGACACCGGAGAAAGGCATTCAAATTGCGTCTCAGGAAACATATAACATAGGAAAAAAGGCGTGGACTTTTTCACTTGAAGATTTATCTTTTCCTTCGAATGGTGTTAATCGCGTCTCAATCAAATCTAGCATTGCGAAGTAACTGATTTCAAATTATTTTGATTGGACTCTTGACACACCCTGTAGTAATTGCCATCTACTGGGGGAGTTATTTAAAATAGATAGATGAAAATAATACCCAGGTTTTTGTGGTCTAGCCAATGACAGCATTCCAGAACCTTGTAGGCCTTGTAATCAACACATCACCAAATAGTTCAATGCAACCGGTGGAATCCCCGATTACGTTGAGAATTTTCTTTGCTAGAAAGGGTAATTGCGCATCTCTGTAGACCTATGGTGAAAAACAGAAATTAACGTAGCTTCTCTTATCTTGGTGAACCCGATGCGACTACTGCAATTGCTTACTGCCGAGTTGCCTCGCTAACTCAGGATGTCTCTTATTTACTCATTTCAGAGTTTTCCCTTCAAAATAAAAATGCTGCAGGAATTCAAATAATTTGCTTTGCATCTAATCTAGTAGTTAACTTTTCCTCGAAGCAAAAACGCGTTTCCATTTTTCACGTTCATCTCCACTCTTTGGCTGAAGGGAAAGCAACATTTTTACTCAGCCGGAGAGGAGATACGACACACTGGCACATGTTCGTTACAAGGTCTACGAATTACTGAACTTGAGTAGAAAGCTTTTCAGTGGGAAGAAATGACGAATTTCTCCCAGTTAATCAGTGTAATCTGAGATCCCAATGGAACTTAAATTGGCGGTAGATGGGATTTGAGTTAATTACGTAAATGGGTAAAGACTGGACAGGGTTTGGGTTTGCGTTGGTCAAGTAGACTATTTGTCCAGTATTGATAATGGCGAAGCATCACCGAGACAGAAATTAGAAGCAGACCGAAGCGAAAATCTGCTAGGAATAAAAAAAAAACTGTGCGCAAGAAGTTATGAGAGAATATTTAAACAGTACAAGCAGGGCAAAATCAATGTTCATACTTCTCGGAAACGTTTTCGGTACATATGGGAATATCGCAATATTCCCTACCACGCCCGTCGCTCTTGTAGCACCAAGGACCTTCATCGTCATCGTTCCAATTCCGGCAGAAGTTGTGAGTGGGGTACAAATCGTCCTTTAACCTCTTTTGGAAATTGCTGATCATGTTAGCCTTTTCCGTATAGTCGGAATAATCATGTTCTTCTTGGCCCATCCAACCAACAATCCATGCCACGCACTTGTGTCCTTTTCTGGTCACATTTTTCGTGCCTATGTATGACACCCCCTTCACGTCTNCCAGAACTTCTGAAGGACAACAACATCGATTTCTTTGGTAATGAAGAGTGGCCAGGTAATTCTCCCGATCTGAATGTCTGTGAAAACATTGGATCCATCTTGAAAGACAACGTTGAAAAAAGGATGCTGTCTGAACCTCTCGCAACTCAATTTAGTCGTACCAGAATGGAGGAGCATATCGATGCTGTCCTTCGAGAAATGGAGTTAAACACAGAACTTTTTGAGTCACTTTTGTCTTCCTATCCTACTCGTCTTCAAGCTGTTCGTGATGCCAATGGAGGGAACACTGAATTTTGAGCTTGTAAATATAAACCCACAATAAATTGTGCTACCTATTGGTATTTTCATTTTTTTCCTACCAGGCTTCGTTTACTCTGGGGAGGGGGGGGGCTATCATTGTTTGGCACCCTGTACATGTACAGTAGATGGACGTGAGAACGTGTCTTCCTCTCACATGCCTATTCAGATGGAGCATTTTAATATCTAGTAGGACGTTTTGTGTGTCCTGGGCTTTTATTTAATGATATTCTCTCTATTTAGTAAATATATTCATCTGTCATGAAGTTCTTTGCTAAGTCTTCCCTGGTGATGTATGCAACGAGGTCTTGCTGGATTAGTAATGGAGCTTTGTCATCCTGTTTCCGAAATTTGAAGGCTGAGGATGAGACTATAGGCTGTTGTTGTGGCTGTTCCTGCACTTTTTCCAACTCCGGAAATCCTGGTGCATCACTCATGAATCATTATCCTTAATTCTGCGCCTTGCTCCGCTTCATGACAATTATCCTTATCAATTTGCGCGTACTACATTGATTCGATGCTGATTTGGTGTTAATTGAATGTGTCACTTAATGACCGTCAGTTACACCCACAATAACTAAACATTGATTCAATGGTGGGAATGTGAACACTAAATCAGCATCGATTCAAAGGATTCTTTAGCAGTCATTGGGTTTTATGTTTCCCGTTAGGATTTTTTGTGTATTCTATCAGGGTTCGTTAAATTGTTCATCCCATAGGCCAAAATGTATTTCGATCAAGAAAAATGCTCGATTTAGGGCAGATAAGAAGATGGCTGAAATAACGCCAGGCGCAAATTTTATTGTAACAAGCAAGCAGAAAGCAAAAAAAATCGAAATTTCTCGTGTGCATTTAAAATGGTAGAGTTGTCTTAAGAAACAAAAATTTAGAAAAACAAGATTCAATAAAGTTACATATTTCTTACTTTTAAGCTTATGATTCGATTGACGTGAATAAATGTTCAAATCCAGACATGTACCTTACTAAGGAACGAAAGTGTGTGTGGCTGCTTCGAGTGTGACCCCTAACTCTGAACTTTAAGCTTATGTTTCCTTGGGGTGGGGCACCTGGGCGACGGCGTTTAGTGACCCTATGAATGATTATGAATCACAGAGCCACTACAGGGTCACCGGGGTCATTTTTTCGCCAAGTAAAGGCTTCTTTGCTTTTAAGGGAGTTATCAAGCCCCGACTTCATCGTTAACCCTAGCAGCACCTACCATTGAATCATTATCCAGGCGTTGAAACAGCATTTAATTAATTTTGGTTCAATGTTATTAGCTTTTCCTTTTCCTTTACCTTTTACACTTTGCATCAGATACGGGAGAAACCGGCATCAATGGAAACCTTCAATTCTCAGAAAGCTCTGCGTCACACTTTAGTTGTGTTGTAACTAAAACTAGGCGGGCCACCAAGAAGCCATATTCGCGAAATCATGGGGGTCAGTAGCTTGTTTGATACGTAGCATGTTACGCTCACGTGAGGGAGAGTTGGAGTTCAAAATCTGACAAAATCTAACAAAATCTGCCATTTTCATTCCTGATGTACAGTATACCACGGCGTATTTGGAGTGAGACATTGAATCGACGTTGACAAGGTGTGGATTGAATGTATCATCATTGACGGTTACATCCATGTTAAATAACATTGATTCAACAAGGTGACCGTCACCGTTATACTGTGACGGTCTGCTGCACAATTCACGGCAGAAGAATATGCAATAAATGAAAGATGTTCATTGGAATCTTGCATAGTGGGTTCCGCTAGGAACTTTTATATGAGTACTCCATCAGGGTTAGTCAAATACATAAAAAAATCTGGTAGGTAGCATTTTGATTAAGAAAACCTTATTTAAAGTGGAATAAAATGAATTTTCAACTATTAGTCAACATTGGTCAGCAAATGGTGTATCAACGTTGCAGTGTTGCTGTTCAACATTGAATCAATGTTGATATACTGTTGACGTCAACACGTTGCTTCAATTTTTGATAAAAATGAACTTTCAATATAGAATCAATGTCGACAGGCCAATGTGGGCTCATCGCTAGGAGCGTTTACGTAATTACGTTGAGTGAACATTGCTTCACCGTGAGTGTGATACTTGGTTGTGATGCGTTAGGCTTAAATCCAAGCAATCGTTCTCTTGCCAAGCAAATATTTTATAAACTGATTACTTCTTTTTTCCATATCAAGAAACCCCATGGATCTGTGTCATGGTAATCGGGCCCAGGTTTGAATTAGGGCTTCTGATTAATGCTAGATTCAATACTCCCATCCATAAAATACTCCAGTTTAAGTTTCTTCAATGCTAATATTTTCCAAAATGTTTGCAATGGTGTAACCTTCGATTAAGTACCTCCTCTTTCCTTTAAGAAAATAAGCCCAACACTCGATAACAGAAATGCAGGATGCTGATCTAGTTGAGCGGGACGAGAATGGACGAACCGAGGTCTTGGCAGAAGGGGATGTCGCAGTATTCCCATTTCGCGTTCACGTCTGAGACGAAGCACCATGGTCGCTCCCTGTACAGCCCAGGGTTTCTGCAATGGTTATGACTGATATTAAAGTCCAGCAAATAACTGGTGGGATCCATGTAAAAGTCGCCTCTGGACCCGAAATGTGGAGGTAGCCATCTAGGGAAGAAATCCCAAGGAACGCCGTATGGACTTAAATCCCACGATAGACAAGCCTTTCCGGTTTCTGTCTCGTTCTGGCTACCAACGTATTCCCTCCCTTTCTCTGACAATCGGCATTCCGGGTACACGCCCGTTCTGGCTCCTTTGTACTCAACTCGCCTACTGCAGAATGGGATGTCGCAATAAGCCCACCATGGGCTGCCTTTATAATTGTCGTAATAGTAGCACCAAGGAGCAATGTTCACATTCATGTAGTATAGGGAATCGGTCTTCGTCGTCCACGGATTTCGGCAGAAGTTGTGATATGCGTCGACGCTCTCTGAATCGGGGAACGACAAGAATCGAACACCAGTGCTTGTAACTGCTTTCCAGGGAAGGCATTGATATCCTTGGATCGTCATATTCCTTTTTCCTATGTATTCACCGCCCTGCTGGGTCATCTTGCACTCCGGAGGGTCTGGTGGCAAAAAAGGAGGAAGTGCGATTTCATTTGGTATTCATACGCATCATGACATATTCTGATCGTCATATTCCTTTTTCCTATGTATTCACCGCCCTGCTGGGTCATCTTGCACTCTGGAGGGTCTGGTGGCAAAAAAGGAGGAAGTGCGATTTCATTTGGTATTCATACGCATCATGACATATTCAGACCTCATGAAATATCTGAAAAAGATTTTCGAGTGACCTGGTTGCTCCCTTTATTCCGACATTATTTCGCTTCTCGGATGTTGAAAGGTTGAAAATTTTCAGATACTATGAACTCCTCGCGATAATTTTTTTTAGTCTTGGTTGTACGAGACTTGAAGTTTCAATGTTCGTTCATCCTTTAGATAGTGTCTGAAATTAACTCCCTGTGTTTAAATTATGAAAACATTAAAAATATTGTAACGGAAATGTAAGCAAACATTTTCCGTCATTAATCTTTCTGGTTTATAGCTCACTTTAAGTATCAATATTTAAGTCGTGAGAAAACATTTTATACCATATGCTTTTTTGTGTCCAAAATAAGCATATATATAGATTCTTATTGAAATTTCTGACCTTTAGAAATGTTTAATCCAGAAAGCAGAATGTTTGTAAGTTGTTCAAGTTTAGTGTCCTTCATGCTCCACAAGGTTAGTACAATTTTTTTTTATTTCCCTGGTTGTTTCGAAGACTTTTCAGCGAATATGTTACTACTAGCAGGTACCCGTGAAACATTCATATCTTTGAATTTCAGGCAATGGATTTCTCTTTCAAAAAACTTAAATGAAACAAACAGCTGGAATTTTCAACGCCACATTTCAAACTATAATATTGCGTGCGCCTCGCCATTCCCCTCCTCCCATAAAGCAATCCTAGTTACCCTATATACCAAAATACAGGTTTGGTTCTATATCATTAAAATGGGACAATTTGTACGGATTCGAACCGTTCGTGTATTAAATGAAGGAGAGAAGATGCTTCCCATCCCTATAGATCCCAAATTTCACTTTTTTAGTTGTAACTCTATTGGGCTGACGGATAGGACCGGCAGCTCAGTCTGGAATGAAGTTTCTTGCTAGGTGCAGGAGAATACGCAATCAGAAGTATTATTTGCGAAACCTCGTTCCATCAGCGCTCTTTGCGATCGCGTCATTATAAGACGTCACCCTCGGGCAGGCAGCAGGCATCGAAACGCAGTGAACGATGAAAACACGACAGGCCCACACGAACGTGACGTCATGGGAAAACTGGATGGGTCAGCAGCGCTGCTTAGAAAAAGGACGAAACCAAAGACCCCGAGCTCTAAATTCAGAGGCATTGGTGGGCTGTGGGTTGGCGCGATCGCCCCGACATGACCCAAGGGTGGGGGGGGGGGCCATAAACTTCGGTCCCGCAATGGAAAGTTCATCTGCGCAAGCCTCAGGCAGACATACAGGAAGACCTAACCTGTGGACCTCAAAATCATCCCGGGGAGGATGATTTTGAGGGAGCTCCGCAGGGAATGGGGATCAGCTCTATCAGGCAAACCTGATCACGTCAATAAATGGCGTCACTCTCGGGCAAGGAACAACCAGTGGAACGTAGTGAGCTATGGGAGTATGAAACAGGCCAGCACCAACGTGTCGTCATGGGACGTCATGTGGAAGCCTCGGCAGAGCTGTTAGAGTCGCTTAGAAAAAAGACGAACCGAGAGACCCGAGTTCCGAGGCTTAGAGGCCTAAGCGGGCTGTGGTCCGGACCGATCGGTCCGACACGATCCGCGGGTCGAACTCAAAAAGTTCGGTCGGCGTTTGAGCTCCGGATTCGAATCGATCCAATCGGGTCGGGTCGGGTCCGGGAAAGTTAACCTGTGCAGGCCTCCGGCGGACAGAAGTGCATCGGCTACTATTATATAGATTCCAGAAATATTATTGAAGTGAGATAACCAATTTTCAATGGCTTTCCTTTTTTCAACCCTCCCCCAGGCCTCTCTTCGGGACCCACTAACGTTCGGTTTGGGCCTAACCACCAGACCACCTTCAGATCGCGCCAAGGTCCACCTTTTTCTTTTCAAAAGAAACTCAATTCTCGACTTACGACGCCAATTAGGCCTATGAGGGTAGTGGGCTTCGAGACATCTGGTTAAAGACGTGTAACGTTAGGCCTATCTGGAGTACCTCTAACCACCTCGAATAGGCCTGAGGAGAGGATGCCTTCAGGAAGCATGCAATCCATGGTACGCGCCATCCTGTTAATTCGGGGATGTCCGGATAAGATATCTGCATATCCCACCACATCGTTCGATAACTGCAAACCACCGCTGTGCCCGACGGCGATACGAACGTTGAAGTTGTCTTGAAGCTGGCATAATTTCGGCACGACATTCGGCAACACTGGGGGACGGCACCGGAGCCAGCAATCTAAGCC